AATAGGACCGGAAGTGCTTACAATCATCGGAATCATTATTGATGTTGTTATAGCAGTTATTAAGTCTATTCTTCAAAAATCATTTTAAAATTAAATGTTAGTCATCTTTTTCTTTTTAATCGAGTTCAACCCAAGCAAGGCAGTAAAGTCAGTAATACGCAAAGGTTTACTCGGCGTGGAAGAATTAGAAACATAAATATTACTAAGGAGCGAGAACAATAGAAGAATAATGAAAAAGGGTGTAGATAACGAATGATATTGCATTTGAATCTTTGAACATTAAAGTTGGCTGGAAGGCATGAAGCCGAAATTGCGGTAGAAGAAACACTTAACATAAAGCTTACAGTCACATTTAACCAACTTGACTGTAAGTTGAGATCTTAACGTCAGTCCAGTACTGCGCTTGAATTAATAAAGTTCAGGTAATATGGAATCTTCCACATTAGCCTTTAACCCCTTTCAGAAAACTTTATTCTCCTTTAAAAAGCCTTTAACCAGTCATCATCTTGTTTCTGCAAATTCAATCTTTTTTTTTTTTAATAAGCACCAAATTGTAGCAAAGTTCCAGGCGAATCCTATTTTCCCGCCGAGCTCTCTGGAGCCGATTTTGCTACACAAAAGTCTATAAAAATAACCGCATGACTCAATTCAGACAGTCAGCCATCGAGTTTCATGAAATGCTACCAAAATTCACGTGTGTCAATTCACTGACTCACACATTGAAATATCAACAAACTCAACAAAGCATTCATCAACCATTGTCCACTAATCAACATCTACAATTGACTTAAAAAGTGAACGTTTTCACTAATAAAAAAAGTAATTGTACACTTCACCAATTTAGCCTATCAGTTAAAGGCAAGCAACTCTTGACAACATTTATCCTTACTTCTAAATTACGCACGTTCACTGATAAATGAACGAACACATTTGACATCTTTCTTTGCAGAAACCAAGTTATTTTAATTTTTCTAACAATCAAAAAGCATCAACATTTCTTAACCATATTTCTGCATAAACATTCTTTATAACATTATCTTAGTTATTTCATCAACAAATATTTTGATTATCATCACATATGTATTTATTGTTGATATAAAAATTTCTTTATTGTTAGATTCTCTAACAACTGTGTTTAGTAATTTCTGCCATGCAAATTGTCCTTAAATTGTTTGTGTAATCTATGTTGTTGGATACAGACATTATAAGTACGCATAATCTTCGTCTTACATAAATTTACCTTCTAATATATTTCACTCCGTGTATTTCCCGCGACACTACCATAGCAAAGATCTCTCTATATAAAATCGTAACAACAAATTAATTATCTGTAGCACATATAAATATGTAATTATAATTATATAATAAAGTAAAATATATTAATATTTATATTTAATAATATATATATAATATATGGTAATATATATAATATTTATATATAATATAATAAAAATAGGCAAACCTACCTAGGTTTCACCTATTGACAAAACCATTACAAACATTAAAAACTAATTAGTTTTTAATGGTTTTTATCAATAAATACTGTTCCGTCATTTCCTTTTTAGCCAGTTTTACCCTGAAGATCCGTTTAAGTGAAACCTAGGTGGGTTTGCCTGGCTCCTTAGGATTTATTCTTGTTTATTGCTCTGCTTAACGTATTGAGCACTCTACGTTTTAGTCTTTCTACCCGTTTATGTTTAAAAGCACTTGGCGATTTGTTTCGTCTTGTTCTGGTGTTTTTAGTTCTTTCTTTTTTTAATTCCAATTTTTTCCTCAGGTAACCATTTGTCCTTACATATCTGCAATTTATAATATATATAATGTAATAATATATACAATAGACAGGGTGTCCATAAAGTTCGTGTGCACGTTAAAAAATTATAACTTTATTTGCGATAGAAATAATTTGTAAAAAGGATTAGAAAGAAGTAAATCACTATATTTTTTAAGGTTTTATTGAAATTTTATTTAAGTTTCCACATGTCCTCCATCATTAGCAATACAAAGGTTAATACGATTTTGCAGTTCACGGAAAACATTTGTCAACTGATTTACAGTAATGTCTGAAATCACATTAGTTATTTTAGCTATACTTAAAACTAGGTACATTAAACTTTATAACATTTTTTACAAATTATTTCTTTCGCAAATACAAATAAAATTATTATTTTTTAAAGTGCACACGAACTTTATGGACACCCTGTATGTATAATATATATATATAATATTATGTAATATGATATATATATAGTGATAATATAATAACATAATATATAATATATATATATATAATATATAATATATATATATATATATATATATTATATAATATATATGTATATTATATATATAATGCATAATATATATAATAATAATTTATAATATATAAAATTTATAATAAAGTAAAATGAACTTTTATTCAATTATTACATATTTACCATAATTTGCAATGACTTGTTGCCTCTTACCAGGTAATTTCCGCATAGTTTGTTGTAAAAAACATTTCGAGGTCGAACTCTTGAATTTGGTTTTCATTAGACAACCCCTCCCCTTGTCAGATATCGAGAAAGGTAAGACTTGGCTGGTGCGAGGTCAGGTAATTATGGCGGCTCGGGTAGAGCAGACCAATCGAGTTCCCAATTTTTATTATTATTATTATTATTGATATATGTGTCCTTGCGTTGTTACGGGGGAGAACATTATTTTTCCTTTTGAAGCGTGCAGGGCATTTTTTATGGAAAAATTGTGATTTGGATATTTTTTTATTATGCTGTTCCTTGATCTTGATCTATTCCGTGACCGTTATCGTCATATAGCAATCTTCTTTTTCAACATAACAGAATATCATTTTTGATGGTGAATATCTTTGTTTAAATGTCCGTATAATCACCCTGAAGATGGCCCATGTGAACCGAAAGCTTAGAACAAGGAACAGCTTAATGAAAAATATCCAAATGTTGGACAATTTTTGTCATTATTTTCTTCCGAAATTAAAGCAACTATACGAAGTTTAGAACGGCTGATGATCAAACATAAGAGACACTCGGTGTCTGTTATACAGGGTGACCTCAAAAAATGGGAATTTTTTAAGTGCATATTGCCAGACATGAGTAAATGGCAACACTGCGACACAGTGACCTTGAGCAAGTAAACATTTAGAATTCAAGATGAAATTCATAGTATCCCAGCTGAGATGTTGCAGCAGTCAATGAGGAATCTCAACAGCAGATTTCAAGAATTCATTCGTACAGGAGGACGCCATCTACAGGACATAATTTTAAAAAAATGAAAATTCCATGATTGTTTCTTAAATGGCATGTTTTAAGATTTCAATTACTATGAATAAAATATTTTTCTTCCATCACTCTTGGTTTTATTGGATTGTTAAAAAGTTCCCGTTATTTTGGGTCACCCTATATTTAACAATTTATGTTTGAATAATGATCTGCTGCCCCAATACACTATATATATACATATATATATATATATATATATATATATATATATATATTAAGACATTTTTATGTTCATATATTCTATTTATAGATACAAATATTTAATGTATAAACATAAAATTGTCTTAAAATAATTGTCGGACTTTGTCCATTTCATAATGTGTGACGTCATTTGTTTACATTTGAATACGCTTTGATCAGATATGAATGTACGTGAGAGATTCATGGAAGATTGAAGTTTAAAGGCAGTAAATTCGACCTTGTTAATCGAACGCTACTCTGTGGCCCAATCGGTTAACGTACGTCAGGCCATATGACAGTTCCGTATAGGATACAGGTTCGATTCCCATCGGAGGACGAATATTTCCCATGAAAATTTCTCGAACATGTTTATTATAAACAGAGCATTTACTTAAATATTTGTATCTATAAAAGAATGTATAAACATAAAAAATGTCTTAAAGTAATTGTTTGACTTTTTTTTTATAATATATATATATATATATATATATATATATATATATATATATATATATATATATATATATATATATATATATATATTGATACATTCTGTCAAGATAGACTTCAAATTCACTTCTTACAAACTCCAACATAATATAACATTACAGAAAGACTAGGAGCATACACAACACATTGCCACCTTATTTGGGTTCCACAATATATGAACTTCTTCGTTGTACGCTCCGGCCTACTTCAGGTGGTTGGAATGTCGAACTGAACTCTTTATTTCGGGTAGGTAGTGTACATAATACCTCATCTCAGAAATATAGACAGATACTGAAAGGCCGAAACGTTGTAATAAATATGGCGACAAAGATGAGGACAATAGTCCGAATAATGTAAATAATGTACATAATACCTCATCTAAAAAATATAGACAGATACTGGAACATTATCAGACCTGATTTCGTCTGGGCGTTTTGTAACTAACTCATCAAGTTAGCATAGTACCATTGATGGTGTGGCTCTTTTGAAGATAGTCAATAAGCACATTTCCTTTTGCATCGCAAAAAAAACAGACCAACACCGTCCCTGCAGATGAAACAACCTTGGCTTTCTTTTGAGCAGGTGAGGAAGGGTTTTAACTCTGCATAGATTGTCGCTTTGTTTCTAGTGATGAATCCAAATCTCTTTGTGGGTTAAGAAACTTTCAAGGAAAGCAGTTGTACTTGCCTGAGACAATATCAGATTATGCTGTAATTTGATCGGACTGGCGCGCTTTTGATCAAGGGTCAGAAGATGTGGCATCCACTGGGTAGAAAACTACGTCATGTCAAGTTCATTGTGCAGAATATTCTCAATACTCTCACGGGATATGCTGATAGCATTGGCTATTTGATTTATAGTCAATCGTCTGTCATCCATCACCATGTGTTGAACACAATCAATGTTTTCCACGGTGGTGACAGTTGCAGAACGTACATTCCTTAGGTCATCTTCAAGACTCTTCCCCGCCTAAATTCAGCTGCCAATTTTTGCAATGTAGGTAAAGTTGGAGCGTCTTTCTCGAATGTTGTAACCATGTCGGTATGAATATCCTTGGGGATCTAAACCCGTTTTCGGATAACACTACAATGCCAAATTTGGAACTGTCAGACATCAGTTTACTAGTATGCATGGTGTCACAGCTCTAGCATCACTCTTTCATAATTAGCCTATGAACTTTTCAGCCGACTGTCGTATCTATCACTCTATCTATATATCTATGTTTGTTTCATAACTTTCATTTTCCATATATATATTTAACACATATTTATATATATATATTCATTGAGATTTCAGGAGTCGTATCTTTGTTTATAAAAATATATATATATACC